TTAAATAATCAGTTGTTACAGTGAACTCCCGTATTTCTCCTTTAAGTGAAAAATGGAATTTTTATTCCTTCTAATCTATCTATGATGTAATAAAATTAGGAGCTCTTATGGGATGAATCCATAGGTTAGAATAATAACCACTGGTTAACATTCAAGCCAACAACAGAAACCCACACAAAAATAAACACTGCCAAAACAGAAACTTTTCCAAATCAGAAGATGTAATAGGTTGTGACAAGATCAATAACTACTCTACTTTAATGTTACATAAAAACCTGACCCCAGTAAAGTCAAAGGAGTGAAGACTTGTTTTCGCTAGAGAAGTACCTCCGGAGGTCATGGTACCCCAATATCAAAGCAAGCACCATCCACTGCTGCAAGCTCAATATTATCAGTGAGTTGGAAAGACCTGATACTCCATGTGAGCTATTCATCTTTTCCTGTATCTGATTTCAAAGGCCAGAGTTATCTGTTCTCCTGATCAGCTCCACCATCACACACACTTTCAGAGGCCTCAGCTTGAACTGACCACCTTGCAAACCCATACAGGTCCCTGCTGAACAGCTGGGACTCACAGACACACCCACTATCTGACAATAGGAGCAACTGGGCTATGCTGGAGCCTAGCTCTGTATTCCCAATGCCGCATAGCTCCAGGATTTTTTGCCACCCTAATACAAATTGCAAGCAACATGAAGGCACGAGAGCCAACATGCAGGCTGTTGATCGCTGAATAATGCGCATGAATTGGGCTGCTGAGGCCCCTTTAGTACTCATTACCATCTTTCTTCATCTTGCATATAACCTTCCCTGTGTCATTATATGCATCACCTGCCTTCCTGTTTTGGAAACGTTGCCTTAGAGAAATTACTTGTGGTACATTGACCATAGAAGTAAGAAAAAAAAATAAATCACAGCCTTGTGCATGTTGTAGATATTTTGCTTTAAGTCCACAGAAATCGGTGCTATGAAAGAAGAAGGGAGGGGAGGGAGGGAGGAATAACTGCCATTTAAACATGGTCTAAAATATAACTTAGAAGAAGTGAAATTTCTATATCATACAAAATAGTTGAGCACTAACCACCAAGAGACCTGTATCACTGCTCTAGATCCTAGGGTATTATGTTTCTCTAGTCTACCTTCCAATCACTCTGCTTCTCAAAATAAGGCATTTTTATTCATCAAGCAAGTACAAAATTCCTTGAGGAAATTTACACTGGCATCCCTATATAACTCACACAAGCAGAATGAAGGTTGTCAACAAAAATGGAGTGTGAATACATCCTAGACTTGTATTTTCAGAAGGTCTCAATTTTATTTGCAATCTTCTAGCTCTTTTTGTTGTTTTGTGGGAAATGGGAACTGTTTGACTTACTTCTTGGCAGTCACTTAATCAGTCAGTGTTTTATCTTTTCACAGACATAACGTACCGACAAAAACTATCAGTCAAGTTTTTTAATCCCTTATGTCTCCATCTAACATTAAATACTTCAATGGGTAGGACTCGGGCTACTGCTGCTCTACATGCACTTAAAGATATTTTGCACAACTGAGTCAATTTTTCCAAATGCCTGCCTCCTACCCTCTAACACATAGCATATGGTACTGTGCTTGTGGCAGCATAGAGCTCTAAAATTAGGATTTCAGGTCTGCATTAAAATGCTAAATTTTGCATCCGTATTTAAGCACAATTGAGGTTTTATAATATTTTTTATTTAGAAAACTGAATCTTCAAAGTTGATTCCTTTATATAGGCATTGGCTAAGGTTGCTCTAAGAGACGTTATCAGGTAAAATTTCAATCATAACCCAATGTTTATCAGTTTCATTATAAAAACAAAAGGAATACTCTTCATCTCTCATTATATATGATCTTCAAAAACGTTTTCTTTCATCAGCTGAATATCATCATAATCTGATACAGGTTAAATTCATTTGATGGCTACTACTTTTCAATTGCACAAAATACTCCAGATTATTATATAAAACCAAATCTTTTAGCTTTTATTCCTTCGGAACTATCCTTTGAATAGAATGACACAAAGGTTTCTTTCTTATTTACTTTGGTGAACAGCCACAGTGTAAAACCAAGAGACACTAGAATGAACCACATCCAGGTTTATCTTTTTAAGTTTACGCTTCTGAGAAGCAGGACTTGCTTTGTACCTCAGCAAAGTCTCTCCACACCTCAGATTTCACAGAATTTAGTAATCTACTGCCTGAAATTACTTACTGCACTGCTGGTCCTAGACTTCTCCCTCTTACCTCCAAATTCCTCCTCTGGTTGAATGACCAAAGACTGCTTGAAGCAGTGCAGAGGTCTTTTAAAAAGATGCTATGAAATGCTCGTTGCAGAATTGACTTTATTCTTTCTTTCTTAATTCCAAATTGTGATACCACCTGACATGAAGTATCCAGAAATTAGGAAAAAAGAATAAGAGCAGTGTGAAGGAGGAAGGCAGATACCATGAAGTTACAAAGACTTAATGACTGTCTATCAATAAAGGCTATCTGTCCACAGCTGTGTATGCAGACAGATGAACTTGGGTGTATAACAGAAGTTATACTGAAAATACTTACTACCATGTGCTCTTTGGAACCACTACTGAAGTGAAAAAAAAACCTCAAAGCATTTATTTTATTTTCCATGTTCTTAGGATGTCTTAGCCTTCCCTTGTAAATTACATGGAATTCTTGCAAGTACAAAACAGGAGTTCTTCCCACAAACCAAACCCAACGTATGATAATTGTTTTACTTCCTCGGTGGCAAGCAGAGCTACTAAGAGATATAAAATGCAGAAAGAAACCAAATATAAAAGAGAAAAATAATCAGCAGGCAAAAATTTGGGGGACATATACACAGGTTATTACTAGGGTCTGCATTACAGCACTGCTTAACTTAGAATCTAGAATTGTTGAGGTTAGAAAAAGACCTCTACAACTGATGTGATTCAAAGTATGTTTCTCAAAATTAAGGTAGTACACATGTAACTTTAGAATATTTTTTAAATTGAAGATGTCCTAAAATTAATAATCTCAGAAACATTAAAATCATGATCTTATTCACAGATAATATTAGATGGCAGTTTTAGTTTCGTCACTCCAGTTACTTTCTGTGATATTATATATAAAGCAATGTAACACCTGTGAGGTATTATACATATATACATACACACACATATATACATATGTATATATATATATCAGCATCTTTATCGCTTACCTTCCAAGCTTTCTTGTTCATCTGGAGTAAAAGTATCCATCTGACTCTGCTGTCTCAAGAAATGGATGACTGCATAAACCAAGCGCTTGACTGATGACATATTGAAATTGATTCAGTTTCTCCTATGTCTTAAAAACAACAGGATCTCTTATTTCAGAAAATTAATTCTTACAGTCTTCCAGTCTCCTAGTGACCTCAGTAAGAAGTACATACAATACACAAAACCTTAAAAGCCCAATAATACGATGCCTTGAAACAAGCAGTGAAATTGTATGGATTAGGGAAAACTGCTATGATTATCTAACCTAACTATCATCAAAAAAGTACATATTTCCTCTGATTCATTACTGCAGGAAAGCTGAATCAGAATCACAGAAGGGACGCACAAAGATCATCAAGTCCAGCTCTCAAGTGAATGGCCCATCACCAAGGTTAAATTAATTTAATGACTTATTTTTCATTTATAGGGAGTTCTTTTATGGTTTTACTTTTATTTCTAAGACATATGCACTTGCAAGAAGGAGCATGTGCTGAGGTCAAAACCAATTAAAAAGCCACAGTGATAAATATAATGATATAAAGAAATATACTTCAATAAAAGGTGTTTGTTCTTTGGTGTGACATGGGTGTTATACTTTAATCAAAGATGTTCTATGGTGTTACATGGTGTTATACTTGAATAAAAGGTGTTCGTTCTTTGGTGTGACACGGGTGTTATACTTTAATAAAAGATGTTCTATGGTGTGACATGGTGTTTTACTTGAATAAAAGGTGTTCGTTCTTTGGTGTGACGTGGGTGTTATACTTTAATAAAAGATGTTCTGTGGTGTGACACGGTGCTACAGAACAGTTCATTATCACTTCGGACAAAGAAGTGGAACACTGTGACCTCAGTACACACTTGTGATTAGAGACACTACTGGCTCAGTCTGATTTCCATTTAGCATCAGCTAGGAGTTACATAACCTGCAGGACAATTTTAGTTAAAACTTTCCAAGTTATTTTTCCTTAAATCCTTTTGATTTTAAAGGGTACAACCCTGTCCAGCTATCGGGGCAAAGCAGGTTTAAAAGTGAGCATTAAATGAATGGCAAGACCAGGGTCAGCCCCTCGCTCCATTATTTTCTCCCCACAACGCGCGAGCGAATCGGTGTGCGGCCAAACCCACGCCACGCAAACCCCGCCGTGGGGACGGGGAGAGCCAGGAGGGCCGGGGGAGCACGGCCGGGGGCACCGGGGGTCCCCGGCCAGCTTCCCCGAGGGGGCAGCGCGGGTTTCCAGCGCCCGGGCGCGCCCCCGCCGCTCGGAGGGGGGCCGCGCTCCCGCGCCCGCCCCCTCCGCGTTCTCCCCCGGCGCGGGCGCTCGCTGGGCTCAAGGACAGCCCGCACCGCCCGGCACCGCGGGGACGCGGCCGCCGCCCGGGGTCGATCTCCCCCCCGCCCGGGCTCTGCGCACGGGGGTGCGGGGAGGCGGCGCGGAGTCCCCTCGCCCCCGCGGGGACGAGGCATCTCTCTTACCGTGCGAGAGCTGGCGAGTCCGCGCCGCCGGCGGCTGGCAGAGAGCAGGGACGCGGGGCCAGAGGAGGCGGTGGCGGAAGCGGATGCGCAGGGCGGCGGCGGAACGGGGCTACGAGCTCCGCTCGCCGGTGGACAGAGGGCGGGGTGGCGACGGGAGCGAAGCCGGTCCTTCTTATGTTTCTTCTTCCTCCTGTCCGCCCTTCCTTCTCCTCTTCCTTCTCTGGCCCTTCCTACTCCTCTTCCTCTGCTTCTCCTCTCCTCCCCTCTTCCTCCTCCTCTTCCCCTCCTCCTCGAATCCGCCTTCCCCGTGTCCTCCTCCCCCGCCGCCCACCGCGCCGCCCTGCCCATGCTGTCTCTTTGCGCGGGCGCGGTTCGCAGGTAGGGGCGCGGGGAGGGTGGTGCCGCGGGACCCGGGACGGGGGCGGTCTCCGGAGTGGGTGGGGGTCGCCTGGCCGGACTGAAATCCATGGGAGCGTGGAGCTCCCTGCGGCTGATGGGACATCCCCATCCCTCGCCCGAGGAGCCGGGCCTGGGAACTGGGCCTGACCCCCGGGCCGGGAGGAGCCGCAGCGGAGCGGGCGGGACGGGCACACAATGGGGCAGGAAACCTGTGGGGGTCATTGCCTCAGCTCCGGGCGCGTTTCCCGCAGTCCGCCCTCCCTGGCATGAGCTCCGTCCTGAAGGGCTTCCAGGTGGGCAGGGCGGGCGAGACGAGGTGTCCACCCGGTAATCCTTGCACTGAGTGGCACACGTACTGCAGGAGAAATGGGCAAGAAGACAATAGAGTGAAGGAGAAGACTGTAGCAGCGGGACTGCAGCAAGGTGTGTGTGAAGAGAGACTGGCAGTGTGTTCATAGTAGCTCTATAAAAAGGTGTATCACTATTACACGTTGTATGAAGGGTGAGACGAGTACCAGTATACTATCGAAAGGCTTTATACTAGGGCATTACTTATTTTCTCTGTTATGAACACGAGCACTAAATGGACCCCAGAAAAGCAGTGTGGAAGAAGGCTTGTAGTCAGTTCTAGATGCACCAGAGAAATGAGCATCATTGCTTTTATGCTCGCATCTCAATTTCTCCAAAAGACCAGATTTGAAAGGAAAAATGGAAGTAGTGTGAGAATCATGGTGAGAATATGTTGTGGTAATGAGAATGAAGCTGAATTAGAGTGTAAAATTAAAAAGATAGTTACCTGGTGAGGACTTTTGAGAAATGATAGTTGTGTACTTACTGCATAAAGTGTAGTGGTTTTGTTCTATTTCACAGCCTTTGTTCACATCAAATGAGGATTGAGGGGTATTAGCAGATAGAAAGTAAGATCCAGAATATTTTCTTTTTATAAGGCTTCTGCTGTTGAAAATTGATTGACCTGTTTTCTGGTGCTGAATAAAGTGCACATCTATATTCTTTTCCTAATACAGGTTTACATTCCTTTTTTCGTATAGTCATTTTCACTGTTTTCCATATTTTGTGACTATCTTTGTTTACCCTACAGATTTTTCCATCAAAAGAAGGCAAGGAAAGGAAAAGGAGTATGGAAGTTTTTTTCTTTAGATAAAAATTAAAAGGTCTATCTCTGTTCGTGGTTTGCATTTGGACATGGAAGATACCTCCTTTTTAAGTAGAAATAAGTATAGTGGGGAGTGGTTGCTGCACTTTGTTAATTGTGATTTTTTTTCTCCAAGTCATTATTTCAGTTTGCCCAAATAATTGTTTCACAGAAGAGAGTATTCTTGAATGAGTAATAGTGACTTATAACTTTGAAAAGTTAAGGAATTGGTCACAGAAATGTTGAATAGCAAAGGTTCTCAGCTTCTATTTTTCCCAAGGGCACCTTAATGTGAGATAAACATGACAGTTCTTAGCAAGTTTGAAGTATCATGCCTTACATTAAATAAAATAATGTTAAGGTTTGATTCTTTTGTTTAAAATAGACATATTTTGGGAAGGAGGCTTTTCCCAACTAAGTATTTTTCCTATCGGAATCCAAAAGATTCAAAGATTCATATTCAGTTCAATAAAATACATGGGTAAAGCCAATCTAAATTACTTAAGTAAGCCAATAGTCTGTTTACTTTATGAGGATCTTCCTAGAAATGGAAAAAAAAATCTGAATAAAAATAGATACCCTGTTTTAAATAATTTCAGTGTCCTAAAATCATTGTCTAGGATTTGTGAATTCTGGAGCATTGCTTTGCAAATGTCAAAATCCGGTTTTGAATAGGAAAATACATGTACGTGGATTCTGGAAAAACTAGAATTTATATTTAAGATTTAATTTTAGATTTCCATCACTGTAAAGAAACTCTGAACACTGGCATTTTTCTTGATGAGGAAGAAAACCAGCGAGAAACAGAGGCTGGGAAGAAGCAGAAAAAGAAGTGACATCAGAGGGCAAAGAAATAGGAAGAATTTCTATAGTAATTTTCTTATTTCGTACTTATCGTCATAGTGTGTCTCTATGCTTTCATTGAAGTATCAGGTCCAGCACCTCAGCAATGGCAAAGACCGGACAGGACACTTGGAGCATTTTTCCCTTTTCGTGTGATCCATGGACTGCACAACCTCTTCTGTGTATTGCAGCAGCAATTTTTCCTGTGGTCAAAAGCAACAGCTACCACTTTTCTAACCACAGCAGGCTACAAAAGAGCAATTTGTCTATTAGACAGAGTTGGCAGAAAGAAATTATTTCCTGGACTGGCTCAGACAAATGTTTTGAGCCCAGAAACATTTTGTGGACTGAATTTGACCCATAAAGAACCAGTTGGACCTCACTAAGCAATGTAGTTAATGTCTTTTGAGAACATATCTGTTCTATCGTTCTCTCTATAAAGGAAGAAATGCCTGGCTTAGAAAGATTTCTTTTAAATAGTTTGGGTTAGTTCAAAAGTCCAAGCTTTCTTCTGTAGGCGTTGGGATCAGGTAACTCAGAAAGCATAGAAGATACGATGAACATTCAGTACAATCTTTTCAGAACAGTCTAGGAATTGCAGACTCTCTACACAAAACTAGTTCTCCTGTATGATCTCTTGCACAAAAATTTGTCTAGTAATACCTTTTTATATTGAAACTACTTCCTAAAACTGTGCTTGATCTCTTACTCAGTTATGTTGGAAGTGACAGGAAAAAAATTTATTCCTGGCCATTCTCTCCATCCGTCTCTTCATTATCATATAAATCTCTGAAGTACTTCCTCTACTGCTTTTTTTCTCTGCTTTTTTTATTTTTTTTTGTCTGCTCTGAAGAATCCCAATCTAGTTGTTCTTTGAATGGAATATATTGCTCACTGCAGGTAATTGTTTCTCAGTCATTATGACTTGGTAGAACAGACAAAGGTTTTGGCAGGTAGGAGAACAGAAGACGCGAGAGTTTATCTGTTGAGAGGATCAGAAACGCATGTGGTATAATGAATTTTTCCGTTTTGTTCTGTTCCACCTCTACTAAATCCTATCATTTTGTTCTTTGCGGATGCCTCCTCGTTAATGTTTTTGTTAAACTGTTATGTCTCCGGAGTGACTGGATCCAAAGTGTGCATTAATTCACATTTACTAATACTGAAATTCACTTTGTTAATGGTTTTAAACTTTTCTATATTGTGACATTGTTTTTCATGTTTTTGTGGCTGCCTTTAGTACACTACATTGTCCTAAGTAAATTATCATCAGTAAGTTTTGTCATGTCATTCATCCCAGCTTTTTGTAGATGTGAAAAAATACAAAAAATACATGGAACCCTGCAAAGTTCCACTGTCAGCTAAATCCATTCAGAGCAATGAGCAGCCGTTTTTAACAGCCTAGCTTTTAGCCAGTTTTCTGTAACAGGATCTCCCTTCTCATCTCACAAAAGCAGTTTCTGATCTCTGTCGATTGTGACTCCTTCAAAGAATTCCAATAGATTTGTGAGTCTAAATTTTCCTCTGTAGAGGAGGCTATTTTTCAGTACATGGTACTGTGTTTTGATTAGGGAAGGCAAGGTGAGGACAGTGGTAATTTTACTTGTTTCTGAGCAAAATGTGATACAGCATCTCTGTTATTCGTACCATCTCTAAGAAAAGCTCCATCTTTAACAGCGACCCTTTTTATTTCTACAGTAGAATGTTAAATGAACAAAGTTCTTGCCATACTTACCATGCTGGAACATGTAGCTTTTCACATAACCTGTAGCTATCCTGGGAAGCACTCAGTGTTATTAAATCACCGTTCACTCAAAAGCCAGAGAAGAAAGCAGGCTTCATTTGCGTTCCTAATTTGTGGTGTTGAGCAGGCAATTTGGGATTTTGCAAGCAATGAAATGGACATAAGGCACTGTCTCCCAAGAAGATCACTGGTTTAAAATGGTAAGTGAGTGAGATTAGGTCATCATCCGCTATAAAGACATAGAATTTTCCAACTAACTGGTGAAGGCAGGAGAACATTTCTCATTGCTTTGACTGCGTGAGACTTAAGATCAATGGGAAATCGAAGTGTATCTCCATGGTAGGCTGAACGGATTAACAGTAGATGTAAATCAAAAACCTTTTGTGTTTACAAACCCTCAGTAGTTTTCTCTGTCCTGCAGCACCACTTCATTTTCCAGTGGAGTCAACAGTGTGTTTCTCGTGCATTAGCTGATTGTATTCAAGTACTGAACTATCCTGGGAGTAAGTGTGTGGTGTTTGCACTAAACAGCATGCACTTTACCTGCTGTTTATTGCTGGCATCATGGAAATATATGTTTATGCAGCAGCACCTGAGGGAGCTGTACAGCCTTAAAAGCTGTGTTTTCACAGTTTACCTGATAGTAGAACCAAATAATAAGACAACCCTAAATGAATGCCTTCTGCCTCAGACTGACTGTAGTACAATTATTGTCTGCATGCAGGTGTTAAGTCAAATTTCTTCCTAAGATCCTTCAAGGAAGTTGCTATGATTGAGGTTTGCTGTGACACAGAATGCATTCAGTTCACAGAATGAGTGTGAAGCCTAGTGTATTGGTAGTAGTAATTTTGGGTTTGTTTTTTTTTTTTCTTTTTTTGGGTATGGTTGTTTGGTTTGGGCTTTTTTTGTGGATTTTTGTTGTTCGGTTTTGGTTGGTTGGTTGTTTTTTGGGTTTTTTGTTTGGTTTGGGTTTTGTTGGTTTTTTTTCCCTTAGAACCATGGATAGCATAATTTTAGAGATCAGACGCTTTGCTGAAACTGTATCCTGACATTTCTAGGTGTTCCACTACAGACTACTGTGTTGAAAGCACCTTCTCATATGAAAATCAATCAGACCAGTTTCCAAATTTTGTTGTATAAAGACTGTCAGAGGGAACAAGGGGAAGGGGAGAAAATATATGTAAGTTGTATTATGTTATGCACTTGTATGAGTTTCCACTTAAGGTCTGGATTGTTTAT